AACGTGGACTGCACTTCAATTGTGGAGAAAAACCAGGACTGGGCGTTTTTGAGGTTGAGAGATTGTAGGAGTATTTGAAAAACTCCTTTCCTTACGTTGTCCACGTCTCCACGTTCTCCATGACGTTAAATTACGCGTGTGATAGTCATAAGGCTAAGGTGACGGTCGTAATACGCTTAAATAGCGCGTTACGTTCGTCAATGATGTGTGACGACCATTCTTCATGATGTGAGCGCGTTACGATCGTAATAGATGTGTGACGACCGTCACAACATCAAAATCTGCAGAATTTTGCAGATTAGTTCCTTTTCTTCTGATTTTCATATGTTAGCTTTCTTCATATGATCTTTTTCACTAAATCGATTTGAAACATGTTGTACCTGTGAAAAGACATAAAAACTCGGAACAATCTGGAGTTAAATGGATTAATGCAGTATGAAAATGGATTAAAAACGTAGCAATTATATGATAAGATTTCTCGTTATCAAATTCCCCCATACTTAAACTTTTGCTTGTCCTCAAGCAAATAATCATTTAGAAATATCGGACAAGTTTTATCAAGCGCACATGCATAACATACCTTTGATTTTCAAAGCGATTACGGGAAATCATTCGTTAGTTCGACCGATACTTAAGTAAAACACTAACGATACGCTAATGACACAAGCAATAAGCTAAGTCGTGGACTTCCATTTTAAACAAACTGTCCAATAATTCCGTTATAATTCTACCCAGAGTCTCTTGTACCTATTTCACCCGGTTTGTTCTAGCGCAATCACATTAAGCCCTTTGTCTTAGCACACACGTAGTGGAGTAACCGGTTAGTGACTTTGATCCTTTTTGGCACGGGGTCTAGTACACGAATGTGGCAACCCTACACATATTATCCAAATCGGAGGTTGTGGGGGATCGAGCCGTAGCACGCCCTGACAAGTTCAGAACCAGATACCTCTGAACCAACCAACAATGGACTCCTTCATTATTTGCTCATCTCGTATATGCGACCTTGTATTTTGGTGCAAATTTTCCTTTTTAGCAGCGAGATAAGAAGGATATTTCATTGATTAGGCATCAAACACTTATATTCATCGTCTCCCCACGTGGTTTGTGTCAAGACGGTAATGACTGCTAGTATAAACTACTAGGGGTTACTTTAGAACTAAAACTCAAGATATAGGTATAATGGTTATTGGAACGGATCGCGTAAGTAGGAAGTCTAAGGTGTCATAACCGTATCGATCTTGTTGAATCGTTCTCGGCTTCCTAACTAGGATTTCGTTAAGGTAGGTATGTCGGGCTATGCGAAGATAAAGCAAAAAATTTCGGTATGGCTAAATAAAGCGGGGAAGAATTGAAACTGAGAAATATCGTAAAAATTACTTGTTTAATGGAAAATGCGGAAAGGGAAAGGTACCTCTCCCACACTATATCAGACATTGTCCTCAATGTTGTGGTATAATAGCGGGGAAATACAAATACAAAAGGAAACGGCAACGGAAAAGAAATAAGGCTTTAAAAGAAATAAATGCAGAAACGGAAAAGAAAATCAAAAGTAATAAATAGAAACAAACGGAAATAATAACAAAAACAAATAGGTGGATTGCCTCCCACGCAGCGCTTTGTTTAACGTCGATAGCTTGACGGCTCAGGAGTACAAGCACTCATGGTGGTTCTCTCGAGGATGACTCCTCGGTTGAACTTTTAGTAGTTGTCATTTTCCATGACCACTTATCAAGCCATCTCACATATCCCTCACCCTTTCTTTTCTTTCTTCTGTGGGGTGGTTCATTCTTCTGAACTTGTGGTGGTGGTTCTGGATCTATCCTAAGTATCAACTTTTCAAGTTTTGGCTTAGTGATTTCATCCACCTCCTCACAGGTTAACCTTACCCTCTTAAGGCTAATAATATCCCTAGTTTCATGGTCCTCTAATTTTCTCTTTTTATGCAAGATTTCAAACAAGGGTGCATTGGTGTGGATATTTTTCAATACCTCCATATACGTTTTAGATTTGGAGTCTATCTGAGCTTCCATAAAACTTTTCGAGAAAGGAATCAGTGGGGTATATGGATGAAGAACAACAATAGGTGCTTCCTCCTCTACATCTTCTACAACCTCCCTTTTAGATGGTGTTGGAGGATTTTTCTCAATCTTTACTCTTTTCTCCTCTGAACTCTCCTCAATCACATCATCACTCTCCTCAACCTCATTATCACTTTCCTTAGGATTTTCAATTTGTTTTTCACTACTGGTTGTTACAACATCCAATTTCTCCTCAGGGAAGGGTCCTAGAGGGTTTTGTTCAAGCAGGGAGATTTGAGTCTCTAAGGCTATGTTGTGAGTCGCGAGCGACTCAACCACAGTGGTCAGTTGTCTAAGGTTTTCACTGTTTTGAAGACTTTGTTTTCTAAACTCTTCGTTCTGGACAATTTGTGTCTCTACAAAGTGCTCCATCAAAGATTCTAACCTAGAGTGAATTAGCGTCGCATCAGAATCCTCCATTGATGTTTCGAAGTTGAAATCATGCGATTCTTCTGATTCTTTAAATTGAGTTAGAGTCGCATTTTGTGTTTCCACAAAGCGCTTTGTCATCATTGATATTTCATTAAAATTTTCCATTAATATTTCGAGGTCGGATTTATAGGATACTTGCGTCTCCTCGAAATATTGGGTGTAGTGATTGTAGGGGAAATTTGGTTGAGGATAAGTTTGGTTGGAATTATAATATTCTTGCGATTCCTCAAAATTTTGGGATTGATAGTTGGAAAGGTAATTCAGGTGAGAATGAGTTTCTGACGCATTGAATTTTTCCAATAGTATTTCGAGGTCGGATTTATGGGATTCTTGTGATTCCTCGAAATACTCGGAGTGAGAGTTGTAGAAAAAATTTGGGTGATACATATTAATTGGGACAAGAATGCCTTAGTCTATACGGTGCAATAACGGAATAACAATATTGACTGTTGGTCCCCGGCAACAGCGCCAAAAACTTGATGTGTAAATTCCCCAAGTGCACGGAAATATCGAAGTAATATAAAAGATTGTCGAACCACAGAGACCAATGTCAACCTACCGTAATCTATCGCTACTTTGTAAAGCTAAGGCTAATGAATAATTGGATTTTTGGGGGAAATTAAAGTAGAGGAAAACTAAATCGAACTAAGGGAATAATAATAATAATAATAATAAAACGGTCGGTATGTAATATAGTGAACCTAAGTGGATTTAATCGAACCTAAGCATATAAAGATGTTTAACTTAGATGGTTCTGTAGAAATTATCAGTTTAAAAACCCTCAACTCACACTTTCATGGTCTTATCTCGGATTATACCCCTAAAGCCCTATGCCTGCTCTCGCTAGCCATAAGTGTTTAGAAAATACTCTTTGAAAACTTAATAAAATCTAATTCGTTTTAAAGCGCTCTCGCTGTATTTAAATCAAATGCCTAACTTTAGCTATCCGGTTAAAACCTCACACTCTCGTGGTCTTGATCGTAACTTATTCTACTTTTCTTACTCTCGTAACAAAAATATTGATTTTAATTATAAAAAGTCACAGCTAGAAATTAAGTTAATTTGAATTTTAGCTTAGGAACAATTTAATCCATTTAGTTACTATTATCACATCCCGACTCTAGAAAATTAGCTAGTCATGGTACTTGAAACAGACAGACAGGAAATATAATCGGGAAACAATAAAGCATTCATGATAATTAAATAAATAATTTAACATAAACAAATTGTATTAAAATTAAATTAAATGCGATTAAAAACCTGAGTAATAATATTATCCCTCAAGCTCCCTCTTCCACAAGTCGGCAAGATTGGAACCTTCAGAATCGGAACTTGAAACGAATTCTGAGGCTAAAAATAAATTCTAACTACAATAGCAATTTCCTAAGGTTGGAAATAGCTATTAAATGGTATAAGGGAAATAAAACAAGAATAAAAAAAATGCTAACTGATGGTTCGTAAATTTGACAGGGCTTCCGCAAGAAATTCTGTAAAAAACTCTCTGTCCCTTCTTCATTGAAATCTCTCCTATTTATAGAGGAGAAATTGACAGTTGAAATAAGAACGTGGACTGCACTTCAATTGTGGAGAAAAACCAGGACTGAGCGTTTTTGAGGTTGAGAGATTGTAGGAGTATTTGAAAAACTCATTTCCTTACGTTGCCCACGTCTTCACGTTCTCCATGACGTTAAATTACGCGTGTGACGGTCGTAAGGCTAAGGTGACGGTCGTAATACGCTTAAATAGCGCGTTACGTTCGTCAATGATGTGTGACGACCATTCTTCATGATGTGAGCGCGTTACGGTCGTAATAGATGTGTGACGACCGTCACAACATCAAAATCTGCAGAATTTTGCAGATTAGTTCTTTTTCTTCTGATTTTCATATGTTAGCTTTCTTCATATGATCTTTTTCACTAAATCGATTTGAAACATGTTGTACCTGTGAAAAGACATAAAAACTCTGAACAATCGGGAGTTAAATGGATTAATGCAGTATGAAAATGGATTAAAAACATAGCAATTATATGATAAAATTTCTCGTTATCAATCCATACAAACCCAGAACAAATATTTGTTTACTTGCATAATAACCATAGAATTTTGGTGGGCCACCCTACATTACAACATTGGTTTCAACCTTCCTTGTGTTGTGTCAACAGAACTGGTATCACTTGATCCTTATATGAGTTATATAGATTGTAATAGAGTACTGAAAAACTTGATTTCTTTCTTCTTGAAAAAGATTGTATATTCAATTTGTGAAGCTGCTAAAATGTGCATCCAAGGATTAAGGAAACAAGTAAAATTAAATAATTGAACAGGTGAATTAATGTCTGATAGTTCGTGAACTCATCAGACAAATGAGTGAATAAATTGATTATTTTAATTGTAGAATCAACATAAAATCTTCATCATCCAAGTTTACACTTTTTCGAGTTTCTATTATCCAAACACCAAGAAGAATAAATCAAAATTTACATACAATTAAACTTCAATTGTTTTCTGATTAAGAGCAGTATACCTCCACCTCTCCTTCTCCACAAAATCTGCATCAAGGAACCGAGCAACAAAAGTCCATAGTTTATAGACATCTTCGAAATTAGCCAAGAAGCTTAATGCAGCAGTAACCACTGTCACTCCCAAGTTATTATCTCTATCTTTGTTCTTGTTCGTCTCTACTTTCTCACCTCTTCCTTCTTTACTCTGTAGGACTCTTCCCTTCTCTTCTGAATACTTATCTGCAAACGAAATATGATGCAGAAATCCATAGCTGACAGATATATTGTTTCTATCAGCAAGTTTCTGTACTAAAACAGGCTCAACTTTTTCACCTTTCCAATCATAAACATTGAAAGCCAAAGCAGGTCCTCTATCGAATCGTATCTTAGGACCATAGATCTTTACTAATGGAACCCCTTCGTCACTAGGGTGCTTTAGCTTCAGCAATGAGTTCACTAGCCAGTTTATCAGGTACCTTCCTCTGTTGGTTATCAGTGTCAATCCTAAAGAGTCCACTTGGTCCAAACACCTGCATTCAATGTCAAAGCTCCCGTTTTTACTATCTTCTACAATCTTAATTTGTTTGTTCTCAACTACCCTTTTCGCCTCATCAGTTCCAGAACCTTCTGGAGCTTTTGGATCTGCTTCAACTTTAACAAATTGTGGAGTTTGCATCCGTCCAGAGAAAGAAATCAAAGAAGATAATTCTTGTTCTTGTAAGATAGATGGTGATTTTTTTGGATCAATAATTTCTACTTGACTATTATTACTAGAAGTAGAATAATTTTCTGATAGATTGTTCAGAAGATTTCTCTCTGGTACAAGGTTGACAATTCCTGCACAAGAGGAAGATTCAAGAAGGGAAATAGAAGATTTCTTGACAAAAAGGCAACCGAAACCAGATGGATTTTCTCCAAAAACTTTGTAGAATGAACAAATGAGAAAATCTGGTTGAAAGAGAGAGAGACCAAAACTGTCCATGTCTTTTGGTCCTAATGCACAAGCATCAATCAAAACATGCCAACCATTCTCTTGAGCCGTTCTCATCCATTGATAAGGATATCTTGCTCCTGTCACCCTTGAATGAAGTGGGAATACAAAAAGACCAGTTTTTTTGTTTTTCTTCCTCTTATTGTTATCACTAACAATCATCTTTTTCAATTTTGTTGATTGAATCCTTAGTCTTGGCCATGAGAATTCAGCTGACATTGATTTCGCTCCTCTTTTTTCCGAAGAGCCAACCATTGCTTCCACTGCTTCACTTTCATAGTCATAAACTGTAAGAAGCTTCTTACAAGATTGAAATGGATATGAATCTGCCACAAGTTTGAAAGCCGATGTTCTATTTGCTGTTAAAACCATGAAATAATCATTTTCAGAAATGTTGAGAAACTTCATTATCCTTCTCCTCATTGAAGACTCAAATTCCGACTCATTCCCTCCATGAAGCAATAAAGTCTTCAAGTTTCCTGTTTTGTAGGAGATACTAAAAAAGGGTATATCAGAATATTGCAGTGGAGATTGAGGTGTTGAAGTTGAAGGAGAAGAAAGTTGAGTTTTTGAAGCATCATGTTGTTGGCGTTGTAAGTAAGAGAAAAGACCAATACCAATATAATCAAGACAAGATTGATTTAAGAAAGAGAGATGATAGTATTCTCTGGCTCTCAAACTGTCGATTTTCTCAGTCTCAGAGAATTGAGGATAAACTCTGTTGAATTCAGTGTATGATTCATGAAGCGATGGAAGAGATTCATGGTTTGTGAATTTTGTGTTTGGAAAAATAGAGGACGATGTTGTTGCTGCAAAGGTTTGTCGACACTGCGAAGAGCTGTTTCTGGGTTTGGTAACTGTGTTATTGTTGTGAGAAAGGAGTGATGAATTGATGAACAATAAGTTTGGACAGCAACCTTGAGATGTTTGAGAGACCTCTTTTTTGTTAAGTGCTGATTGCATTTTCTGTTTTTTGTTGTTTGCACTCAAAGACAATTCTTGTTTTTATATACCAGTTTGACTGTTTTGTTCTGTTGGATTTATTGATACTTTCTCTGTGACAAACTTACATAGAGAATATTACAAGAGATCTCTGTTGGTGTTAGTTTATTCATAAATAAATAAGTGGCTTAAAATATGTTTTAAAAGTCTTAATTAATTATTATAGTTATGTGTCTTATTGTTAGTGGCTGTTACTGAATTGTATGAACATATGAACATGTTGACAAGGTCAGGTAACACAATTTGGACTATGTCTTTCATAGTTTGTTTGTTGTTTTGAAATGTGTCCCACAGGCCAAACTTAATATGTGTGAACTGTGTTGTAATGATTTCATTACACGTTGTAAACAAGAAAATAGAGTGAAAGCATTAGTTGTTGCACCTAATTGTGATGAATAATTAAGTTTTGCTTTATAGAAATGGCAATAGAAATGTTGACAATAGTAGTTTGGTTTAAGGAATAGTGGTTTATAAAGCACGATTGGCTTGGTGGAAATCTGATAATAGATGATCAAATAGATTTTAAAAAAAGTTTTGATATTATATTAGAATTTTGATCGAGTCTATTTCAACTTTACAAAACCGATTTGTAAGATAACAATTGTCTTTACGTATAAACATATATTCTGATCAAATATTTATTTATTACATGATTCTCTATTTATAAAGATATATTCAGATTAAATATTTGTCTGTTATATTTATTTGTGTGTGTAGGACTATAGGAGTAACTTTGGAAAAAGGTGTGGAGCCATAGACTTGAAAGCAATAGTAAGTGGAGAACAGAATGGTCGCTATTAAAGCCAGCATTATCGATGAGCTCCAAAAGAAAAGCCTCTTTAGAAATTTTCTAAGTACTTGTGGACAATCTTTGCTTAATGTTTAAGGGTTGAAAAACACAAGTTCAAAATAAAATATAAAGAAAAGGTTTAATCATTAAGGTTGGTGTATCATTACTTAAATCAATGATTTTTTTTCCTTCTTTTCAAATTGAAGAATATATTGAGTAACTTCACCTGTCAATATGGCATGAAACATTGCATGATTTATTGGGGTGGAGCAACATTGCTTATACGTGTGTGAAAAGAGTGGGCTCAGATACCAATATAAAATGTGAGGCGTGCTTATGATGAGAAAAATGGCTCTTGTTCAAAAAAGAACAAAGTGGATTTGACTGATATATTAAAGTGAAATGCAATTAGCGAAAAAGAAAAAGCAAAACTGCAGGATATATAATGCAAAGAAGGAAAGCTTGAAGGGTTGTGTGAGGATCAGTTGAAAAAGAACATGCAAGATTGGTTGCGTAATTAGGGGTTACATTGGATTTTGATTTGTTGCATTAAGCAATGCACGCACGCACCATTTATCTCATTGTGTTGTTTGGGTTGAGAGTAGAAATTACAGATTTTAAGTGTAGTAATCTATATTTTTTAAAAGTTTGCTTCTATCTAAAAATTGTTAAACTATAAGGCCTCATGAACTTGAAGTAGAGCTGGTGACTGGATCACACAATTTTTCTTTTTTTGTTAAAAATTCTAATTCAATCTTACAAAACCGATTTGTAAGATAACGATTATTTCGGCCTATAAGTATATAAACATATGTTTAGACCAAATATATATTTACTTATGTGTGTAGAACTAGGAGTAACTTTGGAAAAATTTTGAATTCTATATTTACTCAGGATAAAACCATGGATAATGTAAAATAAAAATATTTTGTCTAATATTTTATCCGCTTAGTAGATGTTTTGTCCGTTTAGATTGTAGAATGTGAAAATTGTCAACTTAGAGAATAAAAAGTTAGAGAGAAAAGAAAGGATTAATGGATTATAAGTGGTGTCTGGATTTTAGAATTCATAACGTATTTTTTAAGTGTTCTATTTTGTTACGGAAGCAGAATTGATTAGAGAACGGTGGTTGCAATGCATAATTATGGACTTGAATCTCAGATGCAGTGAAGGAGGGGATGACCAACAAGATTGACACTCTAACATTCAAGTTAGTATGCGAATGAGAAGATTGAATGAAATTTAAATTTGAAATTGTCTACCTGATAAATGGCGCACTTCTCATTTATATAGGGGAGCGGTTATAACCACCCACTATTCTTAAGGCGTGAAAGGTGTGAAGTTGATGTATCTTAGACATGGATCTCCTACGCTCTTTCCCAAGATAGTATACCTACACTATAAGCGATTGAATGTATTATCGCTTTCTCTAGGTCGAGCTTGTTGGCTTTTCCGGTCTATCCAAAATAGTTGTCTCAAAGTCTTTGTCTCTGTTTTAGCAGTGCAAAGGTTTCATCGTATACGTCCTTTTGTAATGGCCACATATTGGTTTAAATGGAAAGCCAAGAGGTGATTTTGGTGTCCTTAGGAATTTGTGCGCTAAATTTTCCCCATGCTACATGACCTTTAAAGAATGAGTTTTGTAGTTTCTTGGGGCGTTACTTATGTTTCTTTGTCACCTGCATTTCTATAACATATTATCTTTCTGTAACTAAAGAAAGTTATGTCTTCGAAGAGTCAAAAACCGAAAGGAGATGTTTCCATTTCCTGGGTTGACCATGTCACTTCGTCAGTTTATATGTTTGTTCGAGAGGGTAGTCTTGACAAAACCTTTCTGGATGCAGGTCTTTATTCAGATTGGGAGGTACTGAAACCTAATAAGGACAAGAGAATTTTCAACGAGCATGGTGAATGTGTCATTCCCTTCTATGAATGTACCTTCTCGATCACGGGTCTTCATTTTCCCTTCAACAATTTTTAGATAGAAATTTTAAACCACTCGATGATCTTTATTTCGCAGTTGCACCCTGCAAGATGCATGTTTAATGTTTGATTACTCGGATACAAGTTACTCATTATTCCGATGCATTTTTGGACGGCTAAAAGCATTTTAAAACCCATCTACTGATAGACGCTCTAGCCAAGGAGGAGAGGAATATCACTTTTGGTGATTTTTAGACATTATTTCCCACTGTCGTCAATTCAATTGTTTACAATGCTCTTAAATTTCGTAGCTACTTATATGTAGATTCTAAGAAGAATGTGGAAGCAATTTGTCAACTAAGACAGTGAATGAAACTCACCTTATGTCTTTTCACTCCCCTTGGTCTTACAAAAATTCTTGGTAGATCCTTCAGACTCCTCCGAGATCAATGTTGATCGTAACTGACTCACCATGAATATTGTGAAATTTGAGCTTGAGGTGGACCGATGAGGCCACGGTGTCAAGGGTTCGTGTGAAGGGTCTTTCGAGGATGCAGTTGTATACGCATGTTGCTTGGTAAATAGAGGTGTCACATGTAAGTATACATGTATGTTTGATTTCAGAAAGTGATAAAGATAAGAGTGTCGAACTCACAAGGAGTGATGTAGTTACTTAGTTTGATCTTGCAATTAACTATATTTGAGTTTTAAGCATGAGCAGAGAGAAAAATAATATGTTGTGTGTTGTGTTCAGCTTTCACTTAAAACATACCTAAACAATGTAAATAGAGAGAGTGGAAATATATCAAGAGTGAATGAGTTAAGCCATGATCCATTAATATTTCAGAAGTAAATAGGTGTGATGATGTGTAGTGTTGTGACATGTGAGGTTAGAGTGATCTTGTGGTGTATCTCTATAACATCAAAACACTCATATAAAGGGCAAGTGAACAAATATCTAAGTCTCGCTTATAATCCTAATATGCGTCTGTTTGTATTCTGAAATCTTTAATAGTTGTAACTCCTTATCTCTAAGAAAGTTAGGTAAGTGAGTATCTCTACCCTACTAGTTCAACCATTTTTATTAAGAAAACCACTTGTTGTTGGATCTCTCACAAAAACAAACTGTTATCTACTTCTAAGTTGATCATTCAAAGAAATATACTTAAAACAAGTTAACATATAATAAATGAGTCACTTAACTACACATCTTTTAACATAAAAACAACTTAATATTAACTTCACTGCTCAACTACAAAAGGTTTAGCTCATAATGAACTAAGTACAAGCTACAATCATGGTTCTCAGAAGGAACATCCTTAAACAAATAATGAAAAAGAGATATAAACCTAAGAGAGACTTGATAACTTCTTGAGATGGATAGTCTTCAAGAGGTGACTCAAGTCACACCAGAGCTCAGCAGCAGGCACATTGGTGGGGGACAAGGTGTAGTCTGGTAGACAGTTGTGGCAGAGGTACAAGCGGCACTACACACTATGTGCAACATACTATTGTACCTTTCTTTGTCTTTTAGCACCTAGAAACCTTATCCTTTGCATTCAAATATTTTCCTTTCTTTTGCTCTGCTAAGATTCCTTCATATTCCATATTCCTTTTACGCTTTCTCTTGAAGCTACCTGATTGCATTATTGCTTTTCCCTTTTCTCTAAGTCCATCTTTGTTTCTCAGCTTGTGCTTCTCGCAGCAGACCACTGCAGGCTTTCTTCATCTTGACAATGCTAACCTTTTATTTACACAAGAACACATTAAAACATAAAAGGGAGAACTTATTGTGCTCTAAGAAAAATACTATTAAAAAAACTAAAATGCACTAAATAAATACTAGAAAGTAACTTAACACCTAATAAATTCAAAGATTAAGGTATGTATTAACTCACAAAATGTGGGTTAACACACCCCCAAACTTGAATCATTACCTGTCCTTAGGTGATGCAATAAGAAACGACAGAGAACCTTCTTCTAGCAACAACACTTTAAAAAATCCAACCTCATCAGTACTTAGAAATCATCCAAGGGACTAGTCCTAAAAATAGACACAACTCAGTCATGAGGCACAAATCTTAATTGTGTGTGTGCTCTTTGAATCACTGATACACCTTGTCATAGTAGAACTCTTCTTTTAAGTTAGCGAACCTAAATTTAATTTTGATTGCCTTGTTCTGTGGTCCAAAAACTCAATTTTCAGCTTCAGTAGGGGGTTTTGACTTCTTATTTCTCAGACTTTTAC